GGCGGGTATGTTTGTGTCGGGCTATGATTTATATTGTATTTAACTCTGTTCTATTAATTTGGGGGGGCCGTATTTTTAGAAAGAAGATCCTAGGAGTGTGTAGTGTGGGGTGGGCAGCGGATGAGAAGTCCAAGAGGGGGGCCAGTTAGAAGGCCATGCAGAGGCCCAGGGAGCACGCCACGGGCGTGCAGCACAGAGGGGTCACGCGGTGGAGCATGTGGATATTCGCAGGGCACGCGAGGCAGCTTCCGTGGCCCCCACCGTGTGGTTGAATGACTCCCTGGCCCAGCTATCGGCTTACGCACACAGGCACTTGCTTCCTTGTTCACCCCCGGGTACTCACTTTACGGGGTGTGAAGGGACCAGTTTGGCTGGCTTCCTTCCAAGAAGTTAAACAACTCTTAGAGTAACTAAGGTCGTCGTTGCTGTCGTGACGGCGGCACAGAATTTCCCGCGTGGATCTCTGACTGAACCGCCACGCACCTGTACCCTCCAACCTCCCCCCTCCCCGTTTTAGGCAAGGGATGAAGTGAATTGCAGAGAGTCGTAAAGAAGAATCCTGGACCGTGAGTCTGGAGTCTGTGGGTCTAGTGTCAGTCCCACCACGACTCATCCCCTTGACAAGTTTGGACCACACGACGGGGTCACTCACACTGCTCTCCTTTGTGGGTGAGCGGATGGGTGCATGTGTCTAAGAGGCGAGAAACACTCGAATCGCGGTGCTTTTGGAGGGAAGAGCACATTGCGTTCTTGGGGCTTGCCCGCCACCAGCCAGGTAAACTGAGGGCCCCCTCCTCTGTGTCCAGGTAACTGCACAGTTCCGCTCACTGGTCCTGAGGGTGGAGGCTGTCTTTCGCTCGTTGACCCGGAGGTTATATAGTCCAAGGAATCACAGGCAATTAGAATCGCACAGACTATGTCCCAACGTTTCTGTATCCAGGCGGCGTATCCTGACTTCTTCTGACGTGCAAGTCCACAGGCCAGGGGGAGCCGCCACGTAAGAGCTCTGCAGACACAACTGCTAACCTCCACGGATCTCAGCACCACGGCCAGACCCACAAAGGATGCGAACGTCCCAGTCTTCATCCCTTGTCCCCGAACCTCAGACGCCACACGTGGCAATGAGGTCAGAGACGTGGCTGTGGCAGGACGTCCGCTTCCAGGAGAGCATGGAGGAGAGCCCTCCATGTCACCTTTCCACAGGTCAGGGGATTCGTGACACTCCTGGCCAGGAGCCTCGACTGGATTTGGTTTCCCGTCAGCAGGAGGAGCTTGGATTTAGTACACGCCCAGCAGAGCAGTGGGCACCCCATGCGTCTGTGTGACTGAGAGGAAGATCTCCTGGCGTGGTTCCAGAGAAGACCTCCTCCATCCATCTGTCCATCTGTCCATCCGTCCATCCGTTCACGCATGCGCCCAGCCAATATTTACTATAATGATGTGGCAGTCCTGTTAGGGTGGTCTGGATGCCCACACCCCCAGATGTCCACATCTAATCTCTGGGACCATAACTATGTCACCTTACACGCCACCCTTGGGTCGTGTGGGGCCCGATGGCATCACAGCCCTTACATGAGGGAGGCAAGGGTGCCAGAGTCCGAGGAGATGCGGTGGGTGACGGAAATGGGCCGTGTGGCTGGAGGCGTATTGGGAAGGCGGTCAGACCCTAGAAGCCAGGACATCTTGGAAGCAGATTCTTACATGCCCCCCTGAGGGACAGGTTATTATTGAAATATAAACAACAGGATAAAAATAAATTTATGGCTGTTTCCTCTGTTCATGCTTTGTATGGATTTTCGCTTTGTTTTAATGACTTCTAGAATCAGCTGTGACACTTGTTGAAAGAACTTCTGACCCAGAGAAAAATCATTATAATCTAATGTCATAGCATTTTCCTCCATAATATCAATGACACGCTCTCCCTAGAAAAGTTGGGTGAAATGCATATTTAGACAAGTAAATCTTTCTGATAAATCATTTCACCGACGAGAAAGAAAGCATGTGTGAAATGAAAGTTAGATGTTTTGAAAACCGCTCCTTTTAAGGACAGGACACTAATCGATAGGTGTATTCCTTATAATGAAAGACAGTGCAGGAGAAACGTGGTCCACGCCTATCGGGGGTCCCTGGACGGCACAGGAGCGGACTCTGTTTCGGCTGAATCTCCACGTGCCTTTAAGGGCCGAGGGAGAAAACAGGTGACATCCAGTCACTCCTAGCCAGCCACCCATTCCTGGTGGCACCCACCTGTCAGTGTTTAAACTAGAGTGTCTGACACATATTTTCACATTCTTAATAAACCTTTCATGCACATATTTGATACTTAATGGCTACTAGATGCATATTAAAATCACACGTTCATCCTTGTTCAAGGGGACATAGCCTCACGACAGCAGCTTCCACTTTTCAAGCCGCAAAAAGAAACATATTTAGATACATCCGAGACTTCCAAATAATCACTGTGAATGATTTTGAAAATAGCTTGTTTTGGAATTATTTTCAAGAGAGTTTTAGAACCATAAAAGAAAATCAATTTGTCAAAATAATCTGTCTCTCCCTCTCCACACACACACACACACACACACACACACACACACACACACACCTACCCATGTAACTATGAAATGTCAACGTTGCTCTACGATCTTCTAACTATTTTAATATAAAATGACTGAGATCACATTTTGCCTCGAAGATTCAGACACGAAGCTCTGAATCAGATTGGAAGCTTAGCGGGCGTTTACATCCTGGGTCGTTTGATGGTTTTCCCCCAAACTTTTGTATTTCTATGATGTTGCAGGTAGGGATTTTTCATTCATCTTATTAACCAGACAACTGCTGCACACCCTCCCAATTCTATCTGGGAAGTGAGATTATCAATATACGCAGTGTGGGGCACCTGGGTGGTTCAGTTGGTTGAGTGACCGACTTTGGCTTAGGTCATGATCTCACGGTCTGTGAGTTCGAGCCCCGCATCGGGCTCTGTGCTGACAGCCCGGAGCCTGGAGACAGCTTTGGATTCTGTGTCTCCCTCTATCTCTCTGCCCCTCCCCGACTCATGCTCTGTCTCTCTCTGTCTCAGAAATAAATAAACATAAAAAAAATGAAAAAAATATATGCAGTGCTTAGGGTAAAACCGGAAATGGTGGAATAATGACCCCTTTTCCGTGTCTGCAGAATGAGATTCCCAGCAGGTCACCTGTTTCTCAGACCCTTCCCCAAGTCTGCGCCCTGTCCCCTCTGGCCTGGAGGAGATCTTGGCTCCATAACTAGGCCAAGGTCTGGTAGAAACTCTGGAGGGAAGTATGTTTTGGGACTTATTTGGTGCGTACATTTTGGGAACACAACAACATATTCGGGAAAATGACACAAATCAGAATTTTAGTGTGAGTTCTGCATGGGTTCTTGCGTGATCTCTATGAAAACTATCTTATTTTTATTCTCCCATAACGACAAACACAATAAAGTCATTTTCTGCCAGGTAATTATCGTTTCAAAGCATTTCTGAAGACTGTGAAAGGGCCTGTCACTTGCTTATACGAGACATTCAACAAATATTGGCGAGTAGATCAGTAAAGATCTCCAAAAGTGTACTTTTTAAAAGGCAGTGCTTGTGAAGTTCATTACCTCCCTAAGTTCCTAATGTGGCCATTTCCCACAAAGGCCACAGTGTGGGGGGTGGTCCATGACCTCGCTGCAGGGTGTCACGGACTTCCTAAGATACAGGGCACCTAGGAGGAGGCCCGGAGGCTCAGCCCCACCACCCACAGGCCCCATCACAGTGGCACATCAGTGACAGATGTCACACGGGGCATGCCCAAGGCACTGCCCTATCATCTCCACAGAGTTGTGCTTTGGGGGCGCAGCACCCCACGGTCCTGTGCGCCTCTTCCGAACACCCCAAGGCTTCACGGTCAAGAAGTGTCACCAGCCCTCCACTTGGGTGCCCCTTGCCACACAAGAAGATCACTGAGGACCCACACACGCATGCCCTTTGATGAATTATTCACAGCTACTTCTGAAATCTGAGAGTCAGCAAGTCGACAAGCCTGAGGTGCTCGAGGGCCAGCATCCTGAAACAAGGCTGGCGTCCAGGGTGTCCTTTCCCGTCTGCTGCTAGCCAACCACGTGCCGTCCTCTCCCGAAGTGGCAGGACGGTGGGGATGCCCCTCCCTGAGGTGCTGCAGCCCTCCCTCCTCCTCACCCTGCTCCTCGTCACCACCACGCCCCCACAGCTCTCTTCTCAGACTGTCCCCTCCCTGCTCCGACAGCGTTCAGATGACCTCGCTCCCCAACTCTGCCCGTTTCTGACTTTCTCCGCTTGGCCTTTACGTGGGGCTCGGCGAACGTTTATTGCTTGCTGTGTTTTATGGTTTCTCCAGGCCATGTGTATTCATTATGTTACAGAAACAGTAACAGCGCAGGGAAATACTGGGCGCTGATATTTCGTGTAGGCGGTAAATTTTCAAAGGGGTGGATATGGTTTTCCATAAGAATGGAAGCAAACTGTGACACTGAAGGGGATGATTAGTGAATTTACATGAAGGAAGGATCTGCTCCAAGTGGTGAATCATGTTTAGGGATCTGCCCACCAGGCGGCACTCAGACGGGAGGAGAAGGTGAGGGAGCCCCGGAGTCACTGCGCGTCTGCTCGAGTTTTACTGCAGTCTATTAAACCTTGGTATTTAAAGCACAGTCACTTTCTAAATGTCAGCCCTTAAACTTTTTTTCCTGCAGAAAACTTTACAGAAGTTATACCTGATTATTTGCAAGAACTTTGATACCTAAGAGATTGCATTCTGAGAAAAAGAAAGGTTATCGACAAAAGAAGTGTTTCAAAAGACCGTTGCAAATAGGAAAATGGGACAAATGCAATTTGGGAAAGTTACCAAACATTCGGAGAGTGTATCGCGCGTGCGGCGAAGGTGCGCCTGCTCCTCTCGGATGGAGACCGCACCCCTGCATGGTTCTCACCAGGAAGGCGGAAAGGGCGGCTTTACCTGCTGTGGACCTGACAGTTGGGGTGGTGTTGGAGGGCGTCATCACGGGAATACATTCGTCGTCCTGGGAGTAACCAGCTTGGATGGCTCGGAGGTAACTGTGGCTGCGCGTCCGGAAGCATCCGGGAAGGTCCAGGGCGTCCATGGCCTGGGACTCGACTTCACTGAAGACAGATTCACACACTGACTCGAACTGCCCGTTCATCTCTGCCTCGCTCATCTGGAACAAGAATGCACAGGTGATGGCGAGATGTGGCCAGGTCACGGGAGAAAAAGAAAGAACAAAACTCACCCTGACCTTGAGGTACTGTCTCTTCAGCAGAGTTAATTGGAAATTGGCCTTGGGGCTCCATTAAGCTGAGGGAAGGGCTTTTACTGGGTTATTTCTCACAAACACTAAGAAAAATGTCACTTCTGAGATGTTCCTGAAATTCTGAGGGCCCCTGAGGGTGGCTGAAAGGGTGGCCTGCTGGAACCGCCCAGGACAGAAGACGGGACGCGGGTGGAGCTCGGCACCCGGGCGGTCAGTGAGCACACGCCGCTGGTCCCCCCTCCGTCCTGACCCCGGCGCCTCTGTCACCATTCCAGGCTGTCCATGGCCCAGCAACTCTAGGAGCTGAGCCTGCCTCTATGCATCGTCGTGGAAACCAAGCACACATCTGGCAGGAAGCTCATCTCCTTCTCCCCAGGGGAGCAGCAGGACCGCGGGTCCAGCAGAGAAAGACACGGCCAGCGGGCTGTCCATCGCTTCGTCACCAGCCTGTGCCATGTGCGTACTGCCCATGCTGCTGCTCGGCCTGGGATGTTAGGAGACTCACTTCCTTTGACAATTTAGCAGGTGAAGTAATAGTTTTCACACCTGCAATTTAATTTCCAGGTATAGAGTCACCCTGGGAACCTAAAAGGTCCAAATGTGTTAAGAAAACATCGAGGCTTTGGACAGGCGCGGGATTGCAGGTGCTGGGCACACAGGGGCACGCCCATTGGGTTGGCTAGAGGGACTTTGCATGGGGTCAGTGAGCGCTAGCAGGGGACACACTTTTCCTGCCATTCCTGGGTAGTGATCCTTGTGCGTTTCCCAAGAGCCAAACCTACAGGCTTCATCTGGGTGCCCAGTGAAGGGAGGTGCGCAGGAGAGCCAGGATGAAGAGAACAGGGTACAGAGCAGATGAGACATTAGGAAAGAAAAGCTTAACGGCTTAGCCACTCATCAGTGAGGACGGGAGGCTCACGGGTCCGCGGGCAGGGCTCTCGGGGTGGGTCACGTGTTAGGCTGAAAGGGACGTTGATAAATGAACCCTCCCCGGCTACTCCTGTGTTGGGTACACCCCTCGGGGGAATCACGCGTGGGTTAGCACGTGTGCACGGGTGGGATGCTTGCTGGTGAAGTCCCCGTGCACCCGCCGGGGCTGGGAGGGGAGGCTCAGTGCACAGGGAGGCGGCGAGGGCTAAGGGGGCACCCCGTGGCCTCTGCTGTCCCTCCAGATCAGTCCCCGGCCCGTCCCTCCTGCCCTGGGTGTTCGGAGGGGCCCACGCCGCCTGGGACGTCTGCCCCGCTTCTCAGGTGGCTTCTCCACACCCAGCACCCCTGCTGTCATCGTCCTGCCTCCGTCCTGCACCTGCTGTGTCCGCCTCTCACACCCCAATGTCCCAATGTGCTATCCCACTGCCGGGAAGGCCACCCACGACTTCCAGAACACCCTGCGTGATGCCCACAGATAAAGACACCAGCTCAGTACGTGTGCTCTGCCTGTTTGCAGGGTGAAAGCGGGCGAGAGAAGCTGATCTCCCCTCCAACAGGAAGGAAAACCTGCTTTCTTCCAGAATCTCTAACTGCAGACCTGGACGTGGCCCTGCCTGGCACCACGTGGGGCTCCTGACATGCTGGGAAGTGGCCCCCTTCACAGAGCGAGCATAACCCTCTCTGGTTCTGGAGATGGCTGAGGAAAGTGTGTGTGTGTGTGTGTGTGTGTGTGTGTGTGTGTATGTGTGTGTCGGGGGGGAGGAAGGCAGGCCGGCTGCCTGGCCCCCAGTGTGAGGAGGAGAATCTCTGGGTCGCATCAACAGAAAAGACCAGAGGAAGGTTTCTGAAGTTGGAGAAGGGCAGACAAATCAGGGTCAGGACAAAGCACGACACTCCCATCGTGACAGCCTCACGTTCCCAGTGACGAAGCTTGTGGGACACACACCTGCTGGGTTGAAACATGACATTTCCTGACTACACATTTCTTACACTCTGTTTTCCCTTATGGGGAATTATATCAAGAAGCCTCAGGTCGTTTCATGCCATTTATGTCAAAGACCCACATCAGACAGCCTGAAAAGGCCAAACTCTGAGTGATGGCGCCAGCGTCCCCAGCACCCCGGCCGCGGGGTTTCGCGGACCCCCTCCTGCAAACCCCCCGCGGGCCAGGAGCTCTGTCCTTGAGGCAGGACACCATCACACCTGCTCGTGCATCTTAAAGGCTAAAATCTCAGCGAGGACCACTTGGCTAGTACTCACAGCTACAGAAACACATCCGTGAGGTTCTAGAAATGAAGGTGACTCATTTCTCCCAGACAAACAGAAGTAGTTGAGAAGGATCTCAAGACTTGGTCCAGAGAGGACCTGAAATGCTCTGTCCTCTGAGAGCTGATGCATTCACCGACCCTGAGGGGGACTGGGAAAAGTGGGTGTCATTTTACGTTGGGACTCAAACCACGGCTTGGTCCCCAGGAATCCCAGGAGGGTGCCAAGCCAGTGGGGTAAAAGCTATGGAAAACAATCAGTGTGGCCTGAGGCTTCCTCTGTCTCCCTTTGTGAACCATGAACTCAATACACAACCGGGCCTGCTTCTGGAAAATGTGGGCACGGAACAGCCAAAGCGGGGCAAGCTGGGGAAGTGGGGGTGACAGGGTGACTGTCCAGTCTGTGGCAGAGCCGGGGGTGGGCTCTGCAGAGGTCATGACAGATGGCGAGCAGACACGGCCCCGCACGTGGCCGCCGTGGAAAACAGGGTGGCGGTTCTTCCAGAGATTAAACGTAGAACCGCTGTGGTCCGGTGAGGCCACTTTGGGATATTTACCCACAGGAACTGAAAGCAGGGACTGGGGAGGACATATACTTGTAAACCCACGCGTGCATGGTAGACTGTCATTGTGATGTGGACGGACCGTGAGGGCACTTGCCGGGGGAAAGAAGCCAGTCATACAAGGAAAGACGCCGGGTGAGTCCGCTGGCTGGAGGTCCAGGGGACTCACGTCCACAGAGACACGGAGGTGGTGGCACCGGGGACACCGGCCAGTGTTTGGTAGGGACAGAGTCTGCATTCTGCCAGACGGAAGAGGTCTGGAGATGGACGGTGAGGGGCACTGGACGAGCATGTGACACCGCTGACCCGCACACTGAAACACGGTCAAGACGGAAAGTTCTGTCACGGATATTTTAGCACAATTTTTAAGAATTTCCTTTAAGAAGGAAGCCATCACAGTGCCAGAGGTTTTTAAAGAGGAAGAGAGAGAAGGGGGCCACAAGACAGTGGCGTGGCCGGAAGATGTGGGGAAGGCAAGTGTGCTTCCTCAGCCAGGATGCAGAGGTCCCAGCGATCCCACCACACCGGACCCCAGCACCACCTGCAAGTTCTAGGACATGCTGGACCCCCAGCACCAACTACAAGTTCTAGGACACACCGGACCCCCAGCACCACCTGCCAGCTC